GAGAGAGAGAGAGAGAGAGAGAGAGAGAGAAATAGGGTCTGCTTTATACACAATGAACCTAGACATTCCTAGCCTGGGAGGCAGGGCTGGGATAAGACTGAGGTAAGTAAGATGCTCAGAGCATAAAATTAAAGAAGGTGCTCACTCTCAGGGGGGTGCAAATGCAGAGTCAGCAATCTTTGACCAATGGGGCAGGAGATTTTGTGGATCAATGCTTCACCCTTCCATCCCAAGTACCCAATTTGCGATGCATCTATAACCTCTGCAAGAAGGACTGTATGACTGAGTTCTAGTCGTCCACAGCACTGACTACTTGGTAATAGTAGTCATTTGCCACTGCATCCTCTTCTGTTTCATTCTTTTGAAATTCTCATTCCAGCTCTATGAAATCATTTCTTGTAGCTATTCCTAAATGCAAGCTATATCCCAGGCTTTGCTTTCTGGGAAAATCCAAACTAAGAGAGTTGATGTTGAGATTTACTACAAAGAACAGATGCTCAGAATGGGACTCTGGATTAGGGACTCACCAGGGACCAGCATCCTTATCAAAAGACTCACTCGCCTTTAGTGGATGGAAATGATGTGTAGGTAAAAGGCGAATTCTTGGCTTCTGTGCTTGACCAATATGAGAGAATGAGATTATAAGAACTGTGGGGTTTTCTGGGTTTCATTAAATCCAATCACAGGGCAGACTGTGTCAACATTAGATTCAGGATTTATGATTTCAAAAGCAGAGCTCCAGAAATCTCTGACAGATCTCTTTTGTCTAAACCAAGGCCCTGATAATAACAGGCCTCAGAGACCTAAACATAGAAAGACCTGAAAATCTTGAACATCTAGAATTTTTTGAGTTCACACTGCAATAAGCAGCAGCCTTCCTCTTGCTAACGAACAGTCTTCTCTCAATTGGAAAGCCTGCAAGGACGTCACCCAAGGCAGACATTTCATGTGGTAAGGCTTGTCCACCCCAACAGTTACCACACTTCCCCTTCATGCCTCCATAATAGTCTATACCACATCCCAAGAAAGGAAATAAGTCCCTGCTCAGCAGGGATGAGGAGTCGTGTTCACAGAACGGCAGAATCTGTTAAGGTGGGCTGGTAGAGATCTAGAGAGTGAAGAATACATGGATCTCCCAAGGTTTTAAAGGAGGTAGAAAATACAACTGGGATAAGGGGAGAAATCATTGATGTCCTATGACATCAATAATATTCGGGCAAGATCATCTAATGCTGGTGCAAAAAAAAAATTGTGGCTGAAATTACCCCCTTAAATATTAAACATGACAATGGACTTCAGTAAATGAGATACAGATTATGACATTGTCTTAGCAGAGTATTGAAGTAGGAGTCAGAAGCCTCCGTGGGATAAGAGTGTTAGAGTAGACTTAAGTGAGGCTGGAGAAATCATCACCTAAGGACATTCCCTTCATTATAGCAACAAGGAATCCATACATGAAAGGCATATTGGACTCACTGGGAAGCTAGTCAGTGGCTGCTCTCTGAGTTAAAATTGAAACAGGAGATATTGTTGTAGAACTGGGCTTCTGACTTCAACATCAATGTATCTGTAGGGTTGATGGGATTTGGGGATGACAGGTCAGATTGTGGTTCTTAATCATCAGAGACAAGGTAGAAATAACTGCCCTGCTATGGCTTAACTCTTAAATATCCCCGACAGGCATGTGTTTAAGCCTTGCTTGTCAGCCTGTGCTGCAATTGGGAGGAAATGGAATCCTCAGAAGGTGGGAAACCTAGTGGAATGAAGTTAGTCAACTGGGAATATCGGAACCCTGGCCCTGTCCCCTTTCCAATCTGCTGAATGTAGGCTTCTTCACTCCAGAGCCTTTGAATCTGTTTGTGAGCTTCCTGATTTCACAGGGAAGAGGAGGCTTCTACCAGAAGATGCAATCATGGCACTTTGAACTTGAAGCAATGACAACCATATGAGCCATTATTGTGTGGACTCCTTGAGAATTCCAGTAGACTATCAGGCAAAGAGAGGATCATGGTAAAAGTGGGAGATCAAGGGCTAATGCTATGCAATATTATGAGTAGGGAGGAGAGAATATGGTCACCAGGGAATTCACAGGGTGGGGTGCTTCCTGGTGCTTTTGTGCCTGATGGTCACATGTAACAGGAAATCTCTGTCACCAGGGTCCAACAAGTGTTAAAATGAAAACCATCAAAGAGTCATAACTCTAAGGAAAGATCTGGGTCACTGACCAAGTGAGCAACTTAGACCTGCTTAAACATTGTCTAAGCTTGAATGAACTCCAGAATGGGTTACAGAAGGGCATGATGATGAATATCAATTACAGCCTCGGGAACAATTGCAACATAAGGACTGTAACTTGTTCCAATAATCCTGCTGTTTTATGCTTGTTGTAGGATTGCAGCAATTCTGCTGATAGCCTGAGAAAAAGGCCTTTTCCAAAAACTCATGGCAAGCATCACATTTAATGATAAATCTTTAGAAACATCCCCTTTTAAGTTCCATTTCAAGATATGGATTCCTGCTATTACAAGAACTAATTAATAACCTGCGACATTCTAACAAAGATAGAAAATCAAGAAAAAATTGAGAGAAACAAAGAATCAAAAAGGAAGAAATAAAACTGTCCTCAATTATACATGATATACAAGAAAATCTGTAAATAACGTACTAGAATTGATAATGACCAAGCTGTGACATACAGAATCCACTCTCTAAAACCAATAAGACTCATTTATGCCCATAACATTAGATTTGAAAAGAAAATTCAAAGAAAATATTACCACAATGAAGAATGTAATGATATTTTATATGGAGAAAACTACAAAAGTTTAAGGAGAAATTTAATGATTTTTTAATCGATTTTCTTTTTTTAAAATATACAACAGCAGAATGCATTACAATTCTTATTACACATATAGAGCATAATTTTTCATATCTCTGTTTGTATATAAAGTAGATTGACACCCAATTTGAGTCTTCATACATGTACTTTGGATAATGATGTCCATCACATTCCACCATCCTTGCTAATCCCCTGCCTCACTCCCTTTCCCTCCCACCCTTTTTCCCTATCTAGAATTCATCTAATACTCCCTTGCTCCCCCTCCCTACCCCACTATGAGTCAGCCTTGTTATATCAGAGAAAACATTCAGCATTTGTTTTTTGGGGATTGGCTAACTTCCCTTATCATTATCTTCTCCATCACCATCCATTTACCTGCAAATGCCATGATTTTATTCTCTTTTATTGCTGAGTAATATTCCATTGTGTATATATGCCACATTTTTTTTTATACATTCATCCACTGAAGGGCATCTACGTTGGCTCCACAATTTAGCTATTGTGAATTTTGCTGCTGTAAACATTGATGTGGCTGTGTTAAGGAGAAATTTAAAACACACAAATAACAAAAAGATGTACAAAGTTCAAGGATGGGAAGAATCTTATAATCAATTTATGAATCAAATGCAATTTCAAGAAAAAATTTCAACAAAGTTGTTTATGAAATTTGAGAAGCTGATTCTATTACTCAAATTCAAGAAGAGGCCAAGATTAGCAACAGGCAACTATCAAAAAAATGAGATGGGAGATTAACCCTACTAAATAACAAGACTTCTTATAAATCTACAGTTACTAATACTGGGTGGTCTCTGTAGAGGAATTTGGAAGCTGCCTAAAGGAACAGAGGACTCAGAAACAAACCCACACCATTATGAAAGCACAGCACATGGGAAAGATAGAAGTGATAGAAGGATAGAAGATACAAGTGACTGGGAAAGAGATGGATAAATAATTCAGCAAATATCCTAGGACAACTAGTTATCTATGTGGGAAAAATAATAAATTGTTGTCCCCATACCCCAATACCCCACTACAAATAAGAATTAATCCCAAATATATTTAAAGCCTATGTATGAGAAATAAAACTTTAAACATTTTGAAATACAGATTTTTTTTGTGTGTGTGTATGACCTTTTGCTTCTGTCTGTAAACACATAGGCAAAAATCATTAAAGAAAAAAAAAAGATTGGCAGTCTTCAGCCCAAATTCAAATACCTTTCAATAAATGCTTATTATTATCATCATAGGTATCCTGACATCATCTATGACCCTTTGTTCCAAATAAATGAAGATAATCAAAAGTGGACTGAAGAGATTTTAAGGCAGAAGTCTAGATCAGAATATGAGATTGGGTAGGTAATAGAAAAATGAGCCGGGACCAGTGGACCAAGCCTGTTATTCCAGTGGCTCGGGAGGCTGAGGCAGAAGGATCATGAGTTCAAAGCCAGCCTCAACAAAAGTGAGGTGTGAAGCAACTCAGTGAGACCCTGTCTCTAAATAAAATATAAAACAGGGCTGGGGATGTGGCTCAGTGGTTGAGTGGCCCTGAGTTTATTCCCCGGTACCAAAAAAAAAAAAAAAAAAGAAAGAAAGAAGGAAAAGAAATGACATTCTTTTCTAAGAGAATTCTTCTAGCTCTGAATGCAAGCAAGGGAAGATAAATTACTTACAAGATAATTCAAGACGTGGTTCTTGCCAAAGGTCAGAGGTGACACAACCGCTATGTACATCTCAGTAGCATATGTTTCTTCTGAACTTCAATTAATTGACCTCTTCAGTGTATCTACAACTCATCAACCTAAATTATTTCATGCCTTTCCCATTTAGAAAGTATTCGCCAAGTGAGTGTGAATATAGAGAAGAGAAAACTTCCTTTCTGACAACATACAAAACAGTTTTAGAGTAAGACCTTCAGGATTGTATTTTTAGTGTTAGATCTCATGGCAAGGCACTGACTTCTATAAGGATCATCAATCTCACAAACTTAAATTGATTAAAGTAATAAGAATACTTGACAAAGATGAAATGTAAAGCAGAGAAGGATCTTCTGATTATACTGCTAGTGCGTTGGAAGTCTGGGTGAGAGAAAGCTTGCTACCCCTTAAAGCTTATAAAACACCTTATTCTGTCATTTACCTGTTTTGTTCCTTCTACAGATTAAAGGCTGAAACAATGCAATTTCATCTGCAGTTTCGAAATCACACAGGCATCTTCTTCACAGGCTGATTTTTGTGCTACATCAAATTACACAAGAATTCAGACTCGAGAGGTTACTGTCTCAACAAACAGTGAGCACAATTTAGCATAGAAAATTCACTTTGTAGCTAAGTCTACCACTGGGCAAAAGCAAAATTTGAATTACTTATAGATTTCCAGTGGTAAGATAAAGGGTGTGCTTTGGCACCATATTAACTGCAACAGCAGGTAGTAAGGGCATTCTGTAAAACTACAGCAAGATGTTCAGTGTCCTGGAGGTACAAACTCAGTAGGGAAGTTCACTTAACAACTTGTCCATTCAAGTAAAGTTTATCTGTGGACAACCATGAGCATTTCAAGTGTACTCAATTCTTTGCCTTCCTTCATGGCTAGAAGCCATTGATTATTTGGTTAAATTAAATATTCTAGTTAAGGCATTTGCAGGTAAATGGATGGCATTGGAAAAGGTAATGCTAAGTGAAGTTAGCCAATCCCAAAATACCAATGCTGAATGTTTTCTTTGATATAAGGAGGCTGACTAATAGTGGGACAGGGAGGGGGAGCATGGGAGGAATAGATGAATTCTAGATAGGGAAGAGGGGTGGGAGAGAAAGGGAGGGGCAGGGGATTAGCAAGGATGGTGGAATGTAACGGACATTATTATCCAAAGTACATGTATGAAGACTCGAATTGGGTGTCAACGTACTTTATATATAAACAGATATGAAAATTTGTGGTATATATGTGTGATAAGAATTGTAATGCAAACAAAAACAAAGTACATGTATAGAGGTATGAATTGGCATGAACATACTCTATATACAAATATATGAAATATTGTACTCTATATGTGTAATAAGAATTGTAATGCATTCCGCTGTCATGCATTTAAAAAAATCAATAAAACAAAAATAAATAAATAAATAAATATTCTAGTTGAGTAAAATGCTAGAAAAATTAATTTTCAGAAGGGATAGCCAGTAAGCCAAAAATCTGGATTTTTATGAACTGCAAACTCATGGGCATCTGCCAAAGATTGACCTCCATTTCACCCAGTGCTGAAGTTATCACTCAGAAATGTGCCAGCTCTGCATTGGTTCCATGGATCTGATGAGTAGGCCAGCAAACAGCAAAGCCAGAAGAGTTGGAAGAAACTGGAAGCAGGACCAGGACCAGGGTGGATGAAATATCTACTGTGCAAAATTTAAGAAGGCACTGGCTCTCAGACAGCACACACGCATATGCACACCCCCAAAAGTGAGAATCTCCTTAAATTTTGTGCACTAAGTTCCTGACTTCTCTCACCCTAGTCCTGGCCCAGATCTGTGGTTTACAAACAAATAGGCCAACAAAACCTAACTCTGTACCCAGTGGCATCCTTCAGGCCATGCTGATACACCTCTGACAAAACTGTGGGAATTTGTCTTAGAGCATGTTACAGTCTCTAATTCATGTGGTTACATGCCCAGAAGTAAATTTCTGTATTTTTTGCTTTTATATCCTTTATCCTTTTCCTGTACTCTCGGTACCTTTCCATCAATTACGTCATTGTCCTGCAGTATCACCTATGCAAGCAACACTTAACACTAAAATAAGATTCTAAATCAAAGTGCAGAAAGAAAAATCAAGGTCAGCATTGTGAACAGCAGTGATTATACTGCAGGTGTAAGGAGTTAGCAGACAATAGCAGACCTATGGGAAGAAGGCTTGGTAAACTAGGTTATTCTCCACATTTCCCTAAAAACTCTGTTATTAGCCATTTGACAGTTTCTTTAATAAGTCTCTCTCTCTCTCTCTCTCTCTCTCTCTCTCTCTCTCTCTCTCATGCTTACAAAAATCAACATTACTAGTTCCAAATAAAACTGTGTAATTAAACAAAGATATAATATGGTTGTTCTAAGGACAACTGACCTGAATGGTCAACGGGTTTTCTAGGGTTCTGGTTGTCAATTGCTACATAACAACCTATGCTGAAATTTTATGGCTTTAAAATGACACCCTCAGTTTTCCTCCAACTTTGAGGTGAATTTATTCTCAATCCCTGTTGCTGCTGACTCTTCCCATGTCAGGTCTCTACAGTCTGGATTCCTTGGCTCCTTTGACCAGGGCCTAGATTCTTGTGTATCTACAGTTCATCCCCAACGTGTTCCCGTGCATCAAAACTAAATATAGCAGTGTAGTCCAAGTTTGTGTCTCCAATCTGGATTTTTGTGAACTGCAAACTCACGCTTATACTTGTCTATTCAGTGGCCAGAGAAAACTTCAAACAGAATCAGATCTTGGCACTCCTTATGTTAAACCACCCCCAGCCCCCACTGTACCTAGGCTCACTACTCAGCCCCAGCCCCTGTGTGAGTTGGCCCCAGATATCGTTCCAGAGCTGTTTTGTTGGGTTCTCACTGTGGTCCAGCCTTGCTTCCCCTCTGGCTGGAACAGTCTTGTTGAACTACCTCAGTTTCACTCGGCAGTCCTCAGCTTATACACACTTCACCTACCTCATCCTCATAGCTCTTTTCCAAATCTGTAATTACTTGTCATTGCCTGTATTTCTCTCCAGTAAATAAATTTCATGAATTCAGGATTAGCATCATTTCACAGCATATTGGGATTGTGCTCCAGGAATGTGGCATAAATTTAAGCAATGCAAAGATCTCAAGGGGCCCTGCTATCTTGTTCCTTGCTATATCCCCAGTGCTGGACATAGGGCCTGGTATCCAGATCATTCTCAATTAACATTTTTCAATGAAAGAATGAACGAACTAATAATTCTGGACCTAGTATTTTAAAAGTCTTGGGAGTCTGGGCAGCTTGCAATCTGGCATTACATGTATTCTGCTCTTAATAGACATAAGTTAATAAGGACAGAAATACAAAGCACATTGTAAAATGCACGAGAGATAACATATTTATTTTACTTTTTAAAATCTGTTGCAGTTAGTTTTGCAATCATTTCAAATATTATTCAATTGAATTATATAAAAATTTAAAATACAGACCTGAGAAAAATCAAGTCACCCATAATTTCATCTTTCAGGTGGATAATTTCCTAAATTATCATTTACTACTTTGTTTCCTTGTTCTTTTTGAAGTTTTTCTCCACTCTATTAGACCTTCCACAGTATGAAATTTTAGCTTATTTTATATAATCCCAGAGAGCCAGAAAACAAAAGAACAATATTCTAACAGCTGGCAATAATTCAACAAAGCCTAGAGAACCATTTTGATGCTTTTGCATTATTTTTACTAGACTACTGAAGTAAATAGTGTTACTTAAAAGATTTGCATTCATTCAGCCAATCAACAAAACATTGTCCTCAGAATTCAGAATTCTGATGGCATGTATCACAGAAGTTTGGTAACGAGGTCAGAAGCCTGACTCACTGGAGTTACAAGTTAGCATACATCATCCTTCATCCACTCAGAATTCAATTAACAAACACTGACTGAGCGATGTTCCAGACCCTGGCAACACAAAAGTGACAAAAGCCCTCCCTTTCCAGAGCTTGGTCTAGTTGGAGGATAGTAGATAGCAAATGATAGATAGATAGATAGATAGATAGATAGATAGATAGATAGATAGATAGATAGATAGATAAATGTAATATCTTCCATGCAATAAGTGCTTTGGAGAAAATCATGGCAAGGAAGGATAATGCAGGGGTCGCAACTTTAATTTTTCAATGGGTTATCAGGGAGGACCTCACTGAGACCTAAAAGAGGCAAGGCAGCCAGGCATATAGATACCTGGGGGAAGAAAGTTCCAAGCAGAGGAAACACCTACTGCAAATGTTCTCGGCTGGAAATGACTCTGGCTTGTCCTAGAAGTGTGGCTGTTGCTGAGTGAGCATAGGAGAAAGTTTCTACTTTGTGTAGTGACCAAGTGTCAGATTATTTAGGGTTGTGGAAGCCATTGCAAGGATTATAGATTTTATATTGAGTGGGGCAGAGAGCTATGGGAGGACTTGCAGCTTAAGGATGATATCATCTTAATGTTTAAAAGAAACCATCTGCTGTGCAAGGAACAGGCCAAGGGTCAAGGGCAGAAGGAAGAGAAGAATCAAGAGGGTACGGTAATACTCTGGGAGAGACAAGAAGAATTGGAACAGGGGGGTGGGGAAAATGCAGGTGGAAAGATTGGGCATACATTTTGATGACAGGACTCACAGCCTTTGTGGAGAATTTGGAAGTGAGAACCATCCCAAAGTCCTAAGCAGGAACAACTAGGAGGGTAGAATTGCCATTTACAAAGACCGTAGGAGCAGGGGGTTTCAAGGGAATATCTGGATTCTCCAAAATGTTTCATTTAAACAACAAAAATGTTTAAAGTTTAGAAATGGCTTGAAAATTATTGACTACATTTAAAGGGAGAAGGTAAGAAGCATCACAAGTGGTGAATGAAGACAAGTGAGGATGAAATGTTAGTACAACCAGAAAAAGTGAAATCTGCTCTGACACTGGATGTATTTCTTCTAAAGCATCTCTAAGCAGCTCTGTGAGGGCTTTGGCACTCTTTACTACCCCCATACAATAGCTTCTGAGAACAGACCAATTCACCAAGCAGTAAAATACAGTTCTACAAGCTTTAGAGCATGTTCAATAACAACAGAGTGGTTAGTGATTTTTCTCTAGAGGAAGGTATTTTCTATCCTCATCAAATATTTCTTCAGATGTCTATAAAAATGGAAGGCAAGAGGATCCAGAATTCTGCAGCAAATATAGACCATCACCGGGGGTGTCATGGAGAAAAAAGTTAAAAGAATGTTTGTAAAATTCCCCAAATGGAGTAAAATAGAAGCCAATGCTTTGACAATTCTTTTGTTTACCTTGTTTGATATGCAATTATAAAGCATTCCCTCCCTCCACCCTTTACATTTTGAAAAAAACAGCAAATAAACAACTTGTTTAATAGGCACTTGGGTACACTATCCTTCTAAATGCATGAACAATTTCCTCAGCTGAAGGCAATATTAGACTTTCAACTGATAACCTGCAACCACATTTGTTTGGGCCAGGAAGGAGTTCTATGATGAATCCCAAATCCCTCTAATTATCTCTTCTCCCTAGTTTCTTCTTATATAATTTCTGTAAGAAG